AAAAAACATGAAATTAAAAAAATAACATCAGTTTGCAAAGAATTTAAAATTTACAGTTAACACCTCAATATCTAAAAAATTATAGAAACACCCTCAAAACTTTAAATTACAGATAAGCACATTAAAATTCTAAAATTTTAAAACTTACAAACAACACAGATGAATTCAAGAGATTACCATGATACTCCTAAAATTTTTGATATTTAAATTTAAATATTTTAATTAACACCCTCAATATCTCAAAAATTATAGAAACACCTTCAAAAGTTCAAATTATAAAAAACCACCCTAAAATTCTAAAATTTTACTCAAGAAAATATTTTTATATATAACTCTAAGGTATATTTCCTAGAAAATCTTCTCATTGTAGCAATACAAAACCAAAACAAAGTTAGAAATTTAATTTAAAAGTTTTGAAAAGAACATGCTAACTCTTTGTTTAAAATAATATTTAAGTTGCTTGATCTAAAATATTTTCCAATACCATATATACATATATAAAACATTTATTAGTATTTTATTATTATTATTTTTAACTCTTTCTTCCTTGGTGATTTTTTTCTACTTTAACGGGCTTTCTAAGCGACCATTTAACGAGTTTTGGGCCAATGGATCCCAACCCAATTGAGCTTAGGTCATTATATATGAAAATATTCTTTGGGCTTAATTACTCGGTCAACTTAGGCTTTATAAGATAGAATCACCTTGAATTAAAGAGTTTTTTTTTGTGCCCATTTTTCGCACTCTTTTTTTTTAATTTTTTTTAAATGTATATATATTCTAAAAAATATGTAAGTCAAGACACTTTGAAAAATTATTTTTAACTCTAAGCTAAGCATGCATTCCATTATTTTAAATAAAAATCTAAGTTAAGGCTTAAGTAAAGTATACTACTTTGAAAATCATTTCTTAAGAACTTTATTTAGAGTTATCATAAAAGGTGAACTTGAGTAAATAACAGATTAAAAAAATTTAAAATTTATCAAATAAATCAATTATTATATAACTCTATCAATTTGGCAAGTGACGATATTTTTATAATTTTTTTTGGAAAAGGAAAAAAATGACAAAAATGCAACAAAAAATGTAAAACAAAGAGAAAAATTAACTAATTCCTACTCCCACACCTAAATTTTGCATTGTCCTCAATGCAAACTCTATGATGCACAAAGTAAAGCAGATAAGAAGTGAAGTACTTACATTTGATCAGCTAATAAAAAGCTGCAATTACCTTTGGTCTGAGGAGGATGAAATCAAAATTTTATTCTTCTTTCTCTTTTTTTATTTATTTATTCTTTTCTCTTTTTTTTCTTTTTTTCTTTTTTTCAACTTTATAAGAAACTCTCGAATAAGAGAAGAATAAATTCTTTTTGTTATTCTGAAATAAACAAAACAAATAATGTAGAATGAAGTGTTCAACACGAAGAGCTCGTATTCTACATTGAATCCTATCTTATTGTTGAAAATTCTTCTCTGGATTTTAAATAAATTCAGAATGATATAATCAATAATGTAAAATTCCAAGCATTTCGGGGTGTTTAATAATTCTTGTAACAAAGTAAGGTAGGTATTATTGGTGTTATGCATTTTACATTTCTTAATGAACTTAGATTCTTGGACTGTGAAGTTTTATTTTCTATCAACCAATTCTTCTGTAAAGTTCTAAAATTTTGGTTGTTGATTATTCTCTAAGAATCTAAGTTCATCAAGAAAGAGTTCTTCAAAATTTAATTCAAAGCAGGAAATGTTTAACGCAGTTTTATTATTCTCAAGGACCTGATCTGCTTCTTCTAAAAACTTTAACTCTTCATCAAAAATTTTCTCAAAACTTAAATCAGACTCTTCTTCTTCTTCTTCTTCTTCTTCTGATCTTTCCTTAATGTAATTTATTTCTAGAGGCTGATTATTTGGTTGGTCCCCTGGATTAAAAATATTAAGATCAGCAGTCAAATTTCCAAAGGACAGTTTTATTTGACCAGTTCTACAGTTGATGAGAGCATTAGAAGTGGCTAAGAAAGATCGTCCTAAGATGACAGGTGTCTGTCCTTTGGGATTGGAAACAGGCTTTGTTTCCAAGACTACAAAATCAACTGGAAAAATAAAATCTCCAACCTTAATTAGAACATTATCTAACTCACCCATAGGGACCTTAACAGATCTATCAGCCAATTGTAAGATGTATTTGGTTGGGTTTAGTACACCTAGACCTAAAAACCGGTAGACTGAATATGAAAGCAAATTAATACTGGCCCCTAAGTCTAAAAGCGTCTTATCAATATGAGTATTACCAATGATATATGAAATGATGGGGAACCTGGATCTTTATGTTTCAAAGGTATGGGATTTGATAGCATTTCATTGATATTGGCGGCTAAAAAGACTTTCTTTGGAACATTTATTCTTATCTTCTTAGTGCATAATTCTTTTAAAATTTTAGCATAAGATGGAATTTGTTCAATTACATCTAAGAGAGGAATATTAATCTTAACCTGCTTGAATTTTTCTAGGATCTTCTCCTCTTGAGGGGAGTGTTTCCTAAGTCTGAGTCTATCTGGAAAAGGAGCAACTGGTCTAAACCTATCAAAAGCTGGCTCAGATTCCGGTTCAGGTTCTTGATCATCTGAGGGGAGTGATTGTTGCATAGATTCATCAGAAGGAGAAGGAGAAAGAATTTGTACTGGATCAAAAGTTTGATTTGGAGGAGTTTTCACTTGATTATCGACCTGTCTACCTGACCGAAGTGAATGGATTGCATTCACTTGAGCTGCATAGGATGAACTGCATCCTGTGTCCTTAGGGTTGACCACGGGTTACTCGAAAATTTTTCTTTCTCTCTTTCACTCACGGCACTAGCTAGTTGATCAAGTTGGGATTCTAATCTAGCTATAACTTGAGTATTAGAATTGAGCATTTGTCCGGTTAATTGCATAAAGGAATTCAGAATGCTGGATGGTTGAGTCAACATATTCGTGGTTTGAGTGGAGGCCTTAATTATGGTTTTCAAACCCCTTTCCAAGACATTGAGACGTTTATCCTGATCTGGATTGTGAGGAGTCTGAATTACAGCTTGATGAAGAGGAGACTGATTTTGATACGGCAGATTGGGTTGTTGAAATTGTGGATTGAAAGGAACTGTGTTTCTCCTAGAAAATTGTTGGGTCGAAGCGGGAGTGAAGTTTTGAGTTCCGGGAAAATTTTCTTGATTCCATGCAAAGTTGGGATGATTTTTCCAACCAGGATTGTAGGTTGGAGAAAATGAATCATTTCTAGGGCGCTAGAATATAGCGTTCATCTGTTCTAATGCATGGTTGTTTCCTAGGAGAGGGCATTCCTCTGAATCGTGGGTAGGAGACTGACAATTATGACATCCTTGGGCAGAAACATGATTAATTTGAGCTGGAGCTCGTTCCTTAATTTCTAAGGCTTCTAACCTTCGCAGAATTGTCGCCATCTTCGCTTCAGAAGTAATGTTTGACTCCAAGGAAGGACCACTAGACTTAGAATTAAGAACTGATGAAACCCTGTCATCACAGTGTTCCCATTGCATTGTTTTCTCGAAAAAACTCTCTAAAAACTCCCAAGCTTCATCAGCGTTTTTCCTCATGAAATCCCTATGGCACATTAATTCTAAGAAAGTTTTTGCAGAATAATCTAATCCCTCATAAATTATTTGGCACAATCGCCATTTTTCTAAACCGTGATGAGGACATTGGATGAGAAGATCTTTAAATCGGTCAAAATACTTCCAAAAAGGTTCTCCTGGGACAATTTTTAAAATTCATGATGTTGTTTCTTAGCTTCACCATTTTATGGATAGGAAATTTTTTTTTAAGAAAAACGATGATAAATTCTTCCCAAGTAGTGATGGAATTTACGGGTAAGCTATACAGCTATTTTTTTGCTTTGTCTTTGAGAGCAAATGGAATAAATCTGAGTTTGATCACATCTTCTGTTAATTCTCTCATTTTAATCGTAATACACACTTCCTCAATTTCTGAGATAAAAATATATGCATTTTTTGTTTCATTTCTAAGGAATTTGGAAAGCATGTTTATGTAATGTGGTCTAAGCTCAAAATTTATTCCATTTGTTTCGGGGAGCCTAATGCGAGAGGGGATTGCATTCCTAATGGGATAGCACATATCTTAAAGAACGGGTGGATTAGGATGCTCCATTTCTATGATTGGTTTAAAACGAATTAATCGATGTGTATTATCCCTAATCCACAGTTGCATACATCAAAACTATTTTTTTAAAACTTTTTTTTTATAAAAGTTAGTTTTTTTAATGAGAAGAGAATGGAAAAAGAGGAAAATCCTAACTAAATCAAATCAAAATCAATCACTTTTCAATCACTCTAACTCTAGGGTTAAGCCTAACTCAACTAGACTAGCTCCTAACCAAAAACTCCTAAAGTGAAAAGATTAAATTTTTACCCGAGTAGTTAGCCAGGTAATGATAATACTAGAGGGTGATCAAAGATCAATTAAGTACATCGTTCCTTGCGGAGCGCTTTACGCAACCCCTAAACCTTGCTTTAAACACCAACTAATCCGAGAAAACTTTAAACCGGTTCACTTAAGGATTTCTTGTTTCTTATTGAGCTCGAGTCCTTAGGGCCAACGTTTAATGAGTTTTATTAGACTTGGGTGGTGTAGTGAGGAATTAGTGATTTTTGGGCTAAGGAAAGGGTGATAAAATCCCTCACCTTATCTTAATTATGGGGTTTTACCCTTAAAAATATTTTTAAGTGTGTACCAAATCAAGATATTCAAATCACTTGGTGAATTCCTACTAACAATATGAAATGCAACCCTATGAATTAAAAGCAACTAAAAAGGATGGAAAAAAAATCTTTTTTTTAATTAGGGTTAACAATCAAACAAATGAGAAGGAGAAAATTATTTGAATTTATTATCTTGTTAGTAAATGTCAAAGTGAAAAATGGATTTTATTATGGTCAACAAAAATAAAATCTTTTTTTTAATCCTAATTGTCTCTAATTGTGAAGCTAACTAAAAGGGTGGAATTGAAAACGCTAGAAAAAAACTTACCCGAAACCAAATCTTCAAATCCTAGTTCTCAAATCTGCGATCTTCAAGCTCCAAGCGTTTCCTTCACAATAAACACACAAGTTAAAGAACCAAAATAATTAAAACCTACTTAAGTACCTTCCCCGACAACGGCGCCAAAAACTTAATGCGGTATAAATATGTACCAAAAATGTTACAAGTGTACAACCGTGTCAAGTTATAGTATAAAGATATCGATCCCACGAGGAAGGTGTTTTGTAGGAGAAAATATAAAATCGGTTCTTATGTTGTGTGCGTGACAAATAGGAGTGATGAGTGAATGTGATTGTCAAGAGATTGAGAGTGAAAGTGTAGTGTGTAAATCAATGTTTTTAAGAGTGGATGTGAGTAAAAAATAAATGTGATCAACAAGGCAAGAAGATAGTGTGTAAATCAATGTTTTTAAGAGTGGATGTGAGTAAAAAATAAATGTGATCAACAAGGCAAGAAGGAAGAATGAATAAAATCGAGAAACAAATAAAAAAATCAAGAATGTAAAGATAGCGGATTCAATTAAAAATATGGGTAATCTAGAATTGAATCCACTTCTTAGAAAAAGGTGATTCCCTAAAGGGTTCTAGCCTAAAGACGAATCAAAGAACGTGAAAATAAATAAAAAGAAAAACTAAACCCAAGAGGGTTCAAGCCTTAAGGTGAATAGTGCAAGAAATTAAAATCTAACTACAAAATAAATTACAAAATCTAAAATACAAAATAAATCACAAAAATTAAATACAAGAAACTAAATCTACTCTATAAACATAAAATAAATCTAATCTATAAGCATAAAATAAATCTAAGGCAAGAGGGTTCTAGCCTCTTGGCTATTTAAACAAAAAAATAAAATCTAATTACAAGCAAGAAAATAAATCTAAACTAATAAGCAATAAAAGAGAAATAAGAAAAACAAACATCCAAATTAATCACCATCTTCATCTTTATCTTCATCATCCAACAAAGAGAAGAAGAGAAAATTTTAAAGTGGTAAAAAAAATATTTCATTAATTATAACAAAAAGTTATAAATTTAGAAGGCCTTCTCAATTAAGAGTAGCCCTCCTCTCCAAAAGGAGTTACAAAATTTTTTACACCTCTAACCCCTCACTCTCTACCCCTATTTATAGTAAACATCAGTGAATGAGAGCCCTTGGATTGAAATCTTATCCAAAAACCATGAATTTCAACCTTAGATTTGTAACAGATGGCATCGATGGTAGCATCGATAGGGGTATCGCTGCCCAGTGCGCTGCAATTGCAATCTGCAGCTTCTTCTTCTTTTATACTCTGGACTTGGGCTTCTTTGGCATTTCTTCTTCTTTTGGGCTTTCATGCTTGAGTTCTTCATTTAATTAGTGAGCTTCATTGAGAGAAGAGATATTGGGCTTTTATTTTTGATTAACCTGCAATTAAAGATAAAAACAATTATTAGTGATAAATTTATTCATATAAACTAGATAATGAGGGTATAAAATTGTAATAAAATGTGATTATTAATAGTACATGAAGGAGAAAATCCTTTTATGAAAAGTTATGACTTTTAAGCAAATAATTCCATTCCCACCGCAATCCAATGTTGTTGTCATCTTGTAATTTGTACAAATTCACAGTATAATATTCTAATGTTTATACTCTACACAATTTAATAATCTAATAATTACCCCTTTAATGTGATGTCTCATGAGGCTAATCTTCTCTTAAAAAATGATCATATACAAAATTTTGGATGCACAAAAAATTAGGGGATTTTTTAGTGTCTATAAAGGGACGCAACTGGGGTGTGTGTATGTATGTATGTAGGTGTATTGTAACCCTACCATATATATATATATATATATATATTTAAATATATATAATATATATATATTATATATATATATATATATATATATATATATATTATATATTATATTATATATTTATATATATATTATATATATATATATATATATATATATATATATATAGAAAAAGGTATGCCTTGGTACTCGTATAAATTTTGTGCTTGGATAGTGAGGTAGAACATTCCTATCCACTCATTCAATGTTCCATATCCCAACACTTCCCACCCATGTGCATGTGGTCCCGCCGCCCCATCTTGAATGAGTGAAGGAGAATATGCGCACCTCACTACCTGAGCACTGAAATTTGTGCTGCGTACGAAACATACAGCCACTTCTTCTCATACCACACATGCACACCCACACACACACACACACACACACACACACACACACAACACACACACACACACACCACACACACACACAGTATATTAGATATATATATATATTATATATATTATAATATATATTAATATATCATATATTTATATATATATATATATAGTTGTTATATGTATATGTATGTTATATATATATACTATATATATATATATTAATATATTATAATATATATAAATATATATTATTATATAGATATATTATATATATTATAAGTTATATATATATATATATATATACTATATTAACTATATAGTAACTATGATATATTATATAATATATTTAGTATATATATATATAATATATAAATATAGTATTATATATATATATAAATAATAATATAATATATATATATATATACATATAATTATATACATATACATATACATATACATTATACTATTATCACATATATGTTATGTATTTATATTGTTATTATATATATATATATTATATATTATATAGTTATAATATATTATATATATATAGTTATACTATATATATATTATATTATAGTATATATATAGTAATATATATAATGACTATTATATATATATATATATATATTATATATATATATATATATATATATATATATATATATATATATATATATGTATATGTACATATATATACATATATATGTATGTATATGTATATGTACATATATAGAGAAAACTATAGAAGCACTGCCCAGCGTGCACTGCTTGGGTGCTTCTAAAAAATTCCAATGTGATTCTCAATAAAAATGCTACTCTCTCTCTCTCTCTCCCCAAAAACTCTGATCTCTCCCTAAAAACTCAGATTCCCAATTTTCTCAATCGCTCTTCCTACCCCTCTTGATCTCTCTACGACGAGCTCCAGTCCCCCTCTCGATCTCTCTCAGATCTCTCACACGCCGCTCCTCCTCCACGAGATCTAGTCCCTCGCCACCCTCCATGATACGATTTGTCGTGCGAGCACCTTTGATCGCGGAATTATCAAAGGTGGGTTAAGGAGAAAACAATAAGAACACAAGAATAACTCAGGGTTGGGTGAAAGAAAATACCTTCTCTAGATTATGAGTATGTAATTTACAATCTCTCACAATCTCACTCTAGATTTGAAGAACATGCTCTCCAAATCTCAATTACAATTTTAATCTCTCTTGACTAAACTCTCTGATTATTTTAAACCCTAAAACAATCGCTTATATGGGTGTACATATGAGGGTGGCAAAGTGGTAAATAACCAAGCCCAACCCAAACAGGAAAACGCGTAAATAGAGTCCTTAACGAATCTGGAAAACTCCGATGAGTCGACTCATGAACAGTTATGAGTCGACTCATAACTGATGAGTCGACTGATCAGAAACTTTTGCTACTACACTACACTACAAATCAAGGTTTATAGGAATTGAAATTGTTGCTTCAAAAGTTCTCTCAAGGTGTGAGAGGTGTAAATCTCTTGGTTTAGAGATTGGTGTGCAAATTGACAAGGTGTTTGTCAATTGGTGTTGTAATTTGTAGGGACTTGCAAATTGGTCAGGTTTGCGTTTTGATTTTATAAGTTTATTCAAAATCATAGTGAAAACTCTCAAGCGGGATTTGCTTGGGGACTGGATGTACACCGGATTGGTGGAACCAATATAAATCCTTGTGTTTGTGATTGTAAATTTCTGAGATTGCTATTTTTCTTTGCAATTTATAATCTACTTTGCATAAATTTTAAAAAACACTATTCACCCCCCTCTAGTGTTCTAGTGTATCTATTTCAGATCCTACATTTGGTATCAGAGCAAGGTGAAAGATGGCATCGACAAATACATCACAATTCAAGGAAGGTCACTCTACAAATCATCCACTAATGTTCGATGGTTTGAACTACAATTATTGGAAGTGCCGAATGGAGATTTACCTTCAATCAATTGGCTACGAACTTTGAAACGTCGTGGAAACAAAATATGAGAAGCCAACAACTCCTTTTACAGAATGGACTACTTCTCAAAGAAATAATGCAAATTTGGATTCAAAAGCAATGAATGCATTATTTTGTGCACTTGACAAGAATGAGTTCAATAGGGTGTCAACGGCCACATCTGCATATAATATTTGACATACACTTGAGGTAACTCATGAAGGTACAAATAAAGTTAAAGAATCTAAAATTTATGTTCTTATGCACAGAATTGAATTGTTCAAGATGAAGGAAAATGAGACTATTGGAGAAATGTTCACAAGATTCACCGACATCACAAAAGATTCAGATGATAATGATGAAGAAATGGGCATGTTTGCACGAAAATTTCGAAAATTCATCAAAAGAGGTAATTTTAAATTTAAGAATTCAAATTCAACTAACCCTCTTTGTTTTAAGTGTAATAAACCAGGGCATATGAAGAAAGATTGTCCAATGTTGAAGAATAAACAAAAATCAAGTTATTTCAACAACTTCAACAATATTCAAAATAACAAGAAGAGGAAAGCAATGGCGGTCACTTGGGATGATAGTGATGAATCATCCTCAGATGAAGAAATTGAAGAAAAGGAAAGTGCTCACATGTGTTTCATGGCACAAGATGATGTAAGTGAAAATGAAGAGCTTTTAGATGCTTTTAATGAATTATATGAAACTTTTATAAGATTAAAAATTTCACATAATTTTCTTAAAGGTGAGAATAAAAGGTTACTTGAAGAAATTTCCGATTTAAATTCCTCTACTTTTACTAATTCTCAATTAGTTGAATTAAAAGAAGAAAATTTTTCTTTACTAAAAGAAAATGATAATTTATCTAATGAAAATAAATATTTAAAATCAGAATGTAATAAGTTAAATATTCGAATTAATAGTTTAGATAAAGATATTTCTTCTTTTAAATCAAGATATGAAGATATATGTTTAAATGTAAGCAAATTTAATAAAGGAAAAGAAAATCTTAATAATATTCTTTCTTTTCAAAGAGAATCACAAAAGACAAAAGGATTAGGTTTTCAAATTAATAAAAACAAATCAAAGAATACAATTTTTGTAAAACCTTCTTGTGATTTGCATGATTATAAATATGAAAATTTGTATAAAAAGAAATCAAAATTCTTTTCTATTTGGGTTCCAAAAGAATTATCTTCTTTACATAAGAATTTTTATATTTCTGATTTTATTAAAAATATTTGTTTATCATCTAACTATTTAAGTAAATCAAACTCTTCATGGGTTTGGTTTCCTAAAGGCTAATTTAAAGGACCCAACATAGTATGGGTACCAAAATATAAATATTTATTATTTTAGGTACCCAAGAAAGATAGGTGGATTTTAGATAGTGGTTGCTCCAAACATATGACTAGAAACATACAATTGTTGTCATCTTTTCAAAACAAGGATGGTGGTACCATTACTTTTGGAGATAACAACAAAGGAAAAGTCATCGGTATTGGATCTGTCGGTAATCCAAACAAACCTATCATTGATAATGTTTTATTAGTTGATGGTCTTAAACATAATTTACTTAGTATTAGTTAACTTTGTGATAAAGGTTTTAAAATTGTTTTTGAAAAAGAATCATGCTTAATTTATGATATTGATTTAATAACTATTATTTTTAAAGACCATAGAAAGAATAACATATTTGTTTTATCTATGAAAAATATTTCAAATGAACATTATCTTATTGCATCATCTAATGATTCTATTTTATGGCATAAACGTTTTGGACATGTTAACTTTAAACACATGTCTAAGATTTCTAAAAATGATTCAGTAAATGGTTTACCTAATATGTCTTTTAAAAATAATTTTTGTGATGCATGTCAACAAGGAAAAATGCACAAATCTTCTTTCAAATCTAAAAATATAATATCTACAAATAGACCATTAGAATTAATTCACATAGATCTTTTTGGTCCATCTAGAGTAGCATCTTTAAATGGAAGTAGATATGCATTTGTTCTTGTTGATGATTATTCTAGATTCACATGGGTAATTTTTCTCAAACATAAAAATGATGCTTTTAATGACTTTTCTATATTTTGCAAAAGAATTCAAAATCAAAAATCTACATCTATTATTTCTATACGTAGTGATCATGGAGGTGAATTTGAAAATGAATTATTTGCAAATTTTTGTGATAAACATGGTATATCACATACTTTTTCTTTTCCTCGTGCTGCTCCACAAAATGGAGTTGTAGAAAGGAAAAATAGAACCTTACAAGAATGTGCTAGAACCATGTTATGTGATAGTAATTTACCTAAATATTTTTGGGCAGAAGCCGTATCAACAGCTTGTTATGTATTAAATAGAGTTTTATTAAGACCTATTTTAAAGAAAACCTCTTATGAATTGTTTTATAATAAAATTCCTAAAGTATCTTACTTTAAAAATTTTGGTTGTAAATGTTTTATTTTAAACACAAAGGATAACTTAGATAAATTTGATTCTAAATCTGATGAAGGAATTTTTGTTGGATATTCTAATCACAGTAAAGCATATAGAATATATAACAAAAGAACATTAGTTATTGAAGAATCTTTACAAATGATTTACCTAAAGATTTTGTAGAAGTTAAAAATCATCCACATGATTTAGTTATAGGAAATATATCTGACAAAGTAACTACTAGATCACATTTTAATTTGATTGCTCATAATGCTTTTATTTCAACTATTGAACCTAAAAATATAAAAGAAGCACTTCTTGATGATTCATGGATAATTGCTATGCAAGATGAACTTAATCAATTTACTAGAAATAATGTTTGGGATCTTATACCTAGACCTCAAAATAAATCCATTATTGGAACAAAATGGATTTTTAGAAACAAATTAGATGAATTTGGTCAAGTTGTTAGAAACAAAGCTAGATTAGTTGCTCAAGGTTATAATCAAGAAGAAGGAATTGATTATGATGAAACTTATGCACCAGTTGCACGATTAGAATCAATTAGGATTTTACTTGCATTTGCATGTTTTATGAATTTTAAATTATTTCAAATGGATGTTAAAAGTGCTTTTTTAAATGGTTTTATAAATGAAGAAGTTTTTGTAGAACAACCTCCAGGTTTTGAACATGAAAGTTTTCCAAATCATGTTTTTAAACTTAAGAAAGCATTATATGGTCTTAAACAAGCACCTCGTGCATGGTATGATAGATTAAAGAAATTTCTTTTAACTTCAGGTTTTGATATTGGAAAAGTTGATTCAACATTATTTATTAAGAAAATAAATAAAGATATTTTACTAATTCAAATATATGTAGATGATATTATTTTTGGTTCTACTAACAATAATCTTTGTCAAGAATTTGCTAAGACTATGCAGGATGAATTTGAAATGAGTCACATGGGTAGACTAAATTTCTTTCTTGGACTTCAAATTAAACAATTGAAAGAAGGAATATTCATCAATCAAAGCAAGTATGCAAAAGATTTACTCAAACGTTTCGGAATGGAAAATACAACAAGCAAACCAACACCAATGAGTACTACTACATCACTTGACAAAGATGAAAATTGTAAGAATGTTGATCAAAAGATATATCGAGGTATGATTGGATCACTTCTTTACATTACTGCAAGTAGACCTGATATTATGTTTAGTGTATGTTTATGTGCTAGATTTCAATCTAATCCTAAAGAATCACATCTTAAAGCATTAAAAAGAATATTTAGATATATTAAAGATACTACAAATTATGGTTTATATTATCCAAAACATAGTTCTTTTGAATTAATATCATATAGTGATGCTGATTTTGCCGGTTGTAAATCTGATAGAAAAAGTACAAGTGGAACATGTCATTTCTTAGGACATTCACTTGTATCTTGGTTTAGTAAAAAACAAAATTCAGTATCATTATCAACAACTGAAGCTGAATACATTGCTACAAGTCTTGCATGTGCTCAAATTTTATGGATGAAACAAACTTTATCTGATTATGGTATAATTTGTCCAATATCATCCATTATGT